AGTACGGCCGTATTGGGCTTCATTCCCTCCACTTCCTTATTTTGAGCTATTCTAAGACCTCTAGACCTACAGAGAACCCTCCTAGGGCCTTCCAGGAGTCCTTCTGGCTGATCTTCCTTCAGTCTTCGAGAGTCTTCAAGCTTTATTTCCGACCCGGACAATTTTAGGGGTCTACACTACCTAATTCATGTCTGACACTACTCAACCTACTCTCGATGTCATTTAGACAAATATCCACTAACTTGATGATGCTTGGCGCCACATCTTTGAGACTCAGTATCACCAAGTTAGAGAATTCTCGAGTTTTTAGGTCTAATGTCACTCATTTTTTGCTCGACGTGATTAAAATAGGGAGCTCCGTAGTAACCAATGCTTGTCGTTGTCAATCGCATGCTTAATTAGCATGATCATGACAGAGAGCCCATAACTTGAGTTACGCATCAAAATATATATATATATATATATATATGTGTGTGTGTGTGTGTGTGTGTGTGTGTGTGTGTGTGTGTGTGTGTGTGTATGTGTGTGTGTGTGTGAATTTGAATTAATGAAATGAAGTATCAAATGATTTTTAAATTCTTAAAAAATTTACAAACTTGATCTATGCATTAAGAACTTTAAATTCAACGATTAAATCGTTAAAATTTGATGTAGAACATGAGTTATTGAACAAAGTAAATTTAGGTAGACTGACTTTTGGAATAAATAAATTCTTCTTTTATATATATATATATAGAAGGGGGTTATAATAACGCCGGTGTAACTTTTACTAAGTGTTACACCGCTCAATTACTTTATATTAAATGCGAATTTTGTAAATCTAACCGTTAGATTGAAAATTCATATAACTTAGATCATATATACAAAATTTTATATTAATCCAAGATGATTTGATATTTCATTTTTATAAAACAAGATTGACGTAATATATTCATTTCAAAATATACTAAAATATGAACACTTTGATCACGTTCAAATTATTATTTAATTTTAACAAAATTTGATATGCACATATAAAGTGATATGACTCAATCTAACGGTTAGATTTACAAAATTCATATTTAATATAAAGTTATTGAGTAGTGTAACACTTGGTAAAAGTTATATCAGTGTAATTATAACCCTCTTATATATATATATATAATAAGTCGTTCCTAACATTCATTTTTGTAAGGTTTGAATTCGACGCGTTCCTTGGAAAAAAAAAAAACAAAGCTTCATAACTCATACAACTCAAAAAAATTAAATCAACTTACATATTTAGTCAACAAAACAAACTTAAAAATAACATGTTGAGTTTTTTTAACAGATTTTATGTAACCCTCCAATAAGATAACTGTACACTACAGTATGTGGCAAGTAATGACAATAATTGAAGAAACAACAGCAGGAAAATGGTGAACACAGATGATAGTGGCACTATATTATTGAAAAATACCAATTATAAATACGTATAGTCAATTCTCATAATGTAACCCGTTACTTTTCTTTTTATTATCTTCCCTTCTCTTTCCTTTTCATATAAATAAATTATTTGGTTATCTTTATCTACAAATCATTAGGTTAAATAGATTCCATTATTACACATTACTCAATTTTATTTTATAATTCAAGTAACTCATTTCTTTAATCAATCAACTATAAATTTTGTTAAACATTAGAAATTACTTTCATATTCTTAATTACATTTTATCACTATTTCATAAAAAATACAAACACACCTGCAAAAGCTTTTTTAATTTAACATTATTTTTATTTTACATACATTAAGCACTATTTTTTTTTATAATGACGACAAAATTAAAATACAAAAAATTATGTAAATTATCCCCTAACTCCTTACTATAATGATTAAGCATTAGCAACTAATATTTTATGAACTTGTATAAGGAAGACACTCCAATAATCATTTATTAGAATATATCACCAGAAATTGTCATCATTATACATAAAATAAAAATGATAAATGAATTTTATGAATATTTTATACCAGTAATATAATTATTAAAAAATTAAGACTAATAAAATTTTATATTCTAAAATATTTTATCAATGTTTCTTATATTTTTATGTCTTTCTTTTATCACAGGATGAATTATTAAAAAATATATTTTTTCTTTCCTCTCTTATTATGTGTTAAACGATAGTAGAAGTATTCAATTTTTTTTTAAAAAAAAAAAAAATTGTTGATATGAATAATACCACACTCTAGTATCCATAACATCACTTAAGAGTGATCAATTTTTACATTTAATTATAACTGATGAACAATTAAAGGTACTGATTAGAAATTGCTCTAGATATAACTTTTAAAGTAATTATTCCAAAAATCAATACTGTATATTAATTATTATCATATACATGTGATTCATGATTAGATGAAAATATTACAAATATATATTTACACTAGCTGAAGCAAAGTATAAAACAATTTGATGAGTTGAGCTTACCAAGTGTGTCCCCAACTTGAAAGGTCTTATCTGCAGCCCAAGCTGCATAATTAAAGCCTATTGTCCATCCATGATCATCCCCAACTACAAATTCCTTGGCCATAGCAATGGATGGGAGGAAGATGGTGGCAATGACCACAAGCATGATGAGTGGTGAAGGGGCCATAAAAGACAACTTGATTTCTGTGTTATTATATATGTGTTGTTAATAGATTATCTGTGTTATGATGCGGCATAGTGTATGTTTGAGCATTACTTATATAGAGTTTGGAAGAAGATAAGTCCAATGCTGTGATTCTATGTTGGAAACTGCAGACATGGACGGCCATGGACGGCTTGCCGAAAGAAGAATAAAGTGTCATGTGTCCTTCGCATTGTTATAATCACCTTGTCATTTGTTATTAGTTACGGGTGTTCTAGTGTAGGTCAGCTTGATCTTTGGCTTAAAAATCATACAAGGTTCAATTTAAATTATTATGAAATTCGAACTAAACTAAAATAATAATTCAAACTTAACTAAAATAATATTTTACAATTTGATTAAGTTTTTGTAATTTTAAAAATCTGTTATTTAAAAATTAAGTAAAAAAAAAATATATTATTATATTATAAATAATTCATAATTTTCATCCTAAAATTTAGTTCAATAACTTTCACTTATATAGTTATAAAAAAAAACTAAAAATAAATATAAGAAAATTAAGTCTTTATTCATCAAAACTTAAACTAAATTCAATTGTTACCGATTACTGGTCAAGTTAGTATCACAATTCACAATTGTAAATTTGGAACTTTTAAACATAAAATATGTGTTTAAGACTTTATTATAATTATTTTATACTAGTGCAGCCGAGACACTTAATATCTTTATATTTGTTTAAATATATTTAAAAGTTATTAATATTTGTTGAATTAACCGATGTTATGTCTAATTCTTGAACCACAAGGTCATAGGTTTGTAAAAATAATTAATTTTTAATATTATTTTTTATTATTTAAAAATTTAAAATAAATAGTCCAAAATTTATATACAAGAAAATAGATAACCACTTTTATATATAAGTATATATTGTATATAAAATAACATGAAAGATCAAACTATTTTGGGTAAAACTCCATGATGTCATTTTGAATGTGTCATGTACTACACCGTATATTTAAAAAAAAAAAATTATATATAAGTTATGATTCAGATTGGATCTATTTAACGATCTTAAGTCAGAAGTTGAACCAAATTGATTTGTGTGATTTAGTGAAATAATAAATTTGAACAAAATCACTATTTTTTATTTTCTATCGATTTTTGGATTTTTGAATTAGCTTTTAATTTTATAATAAGGTTGGTTCAATTTTGAACACTTTAATTCAATAAGATAGTAAATTAAAGATAAGGTTGACTCAACAATATGTGAGGCCTAAAATTAGTTTTAAGTGGTAATTTTTTCTTTAAATGAGAAAGATACATATAGAGTCTTTTTGCAAACATACAATGTCTTTTTGACAATGTATACGACCTTTTTCCTTTATAAAAATTAAAACAGGCATTTTTTTATCTATCATGTTAAAATCGATTTATGAGATCATGATGAGTAAATAAAATAATAATAAAAAAAAGGCTTTTGCACCATGTAACTCATATAAGTTAAGTTGTTCTCTTTTTTTATTCGTTCATGTTAAACTTTCATCCCATTATCATAAAATAAAATTCTAAACGAATATTAACTCCTAACAGTTAGTGAAATATCTTCACATAATTATCTCTTAAGATTCTAAATCATCATCTAGTTAGACACATCATCTTTGCCTAATTGGTAAGATGATCTCTCAATTAAATAGGTAATATCTTATCATTAATGGATAAGATATTCTCCAATTTTAAATATACAAATATCAGATCTAATGATAAAAATTAAAACATTTATTTTAGAGATGCCATGTATTACTCTAACTTAATAAATCAAGATGTTCACCAAGAGTACTGTATGCTTATGAGGGATGTAACGGAATAGTGACTGTTAAAATGGATAAAATTATAATAAAAACTACAATAGTGATTCAATGGTATAAGAAGATTAGAGCAGAATGGCACATAAATTTTCAATTTTATTTAACTGGTAGTTGGATTGCGCTTATAAGCTCATTCACAAACTTCCAATTTGAACTTTGAACTAGAAACAATAATAATTTATTCTGAGTACCTCCGGTACTAACAAGGCACTAATATCACTCTCCCAAAAGCTTATAAAAGAACATCAATCGCTCATAACTTAGTTAAATCAACAGTGAAGTTTAATGAAAAATTCTAAATAACTTCTTAGGCACCCATCCACCAAAGTGACGGCGATGATGAAGAGGTGAAGGTGCAGGAACAGCAGCAGGTGATGGTGTTGGAGGCAGTGTTTGTGGTTGTTGAACAGTAATAACAAGTTTTTGGCCAGCATTGCAGTGACCCTCAACACCACATATGTACCATTTTCTGCCTGGAGTTGCTAATACAATATGGTCACTTCCGGTTGACAATGCTTCACTCGCTGGAGGAACTGTGCAGCTCTGGAATAATGTTCCGTTCACTTTGAACACGTTGTGTTCTCCAACAGCATACCTGAATACTGCAATTACATAATGAACCGGCTATTAATTATAATGAAACACTTTACTCTACCTAGACCAATATATAACATGACATAATAAGAGTTATATTTTTTGGATTAAGTTAGAGTGAATTAAAAAAAGATTTTAGAAAAGTTAATAAAAGAAAATTTTTACAAAATAGTTTATACATTATATAAGCTAATTTTAACTTATAAAAATGATTTTCTTTTTCTTTTTTATTTTCCTTTCCTATTTTTTTTTGGAGAAGTTTACTATTATCTTACGTGACAATTCATGATTAGATGAAAATATTACAAATATTTACAATTGCATTATTTAGTTAAATTCTTGAACACAATTAGTTTATGCAAATAAAGTATATATAGAATAATTTGATGAGTTGAGCTTACTAAGAGTGTCGCCAACTTGGAAGGTCTTATCAGCAGCCCAAGCTGAGTAATTAAAGTCTAGTGTCCATCCATGACTATCACCAACTACAAATTCCTTGGCCATAGCAATGGATGGGAGGAAGATGGTGGCAATGGCCACAAGCATGATGAGTGGTGAAGGAGCCATAAAAGAAAATTTGATTTGTGTGTTGTTAATCGATTATCTTTGTTGCTCATGAAATGTGGCGTTTGAGCATTATATAAAGGTTGGAAGAAGAGAGCAGACACGGACGGCAATGGACGGACGGTATGCCGAAAAGAGAATAAACTTCATTACCAATACCATGTGCATGTGTGTTAGTGTTACGTCGTACGTGTCGAACCCTAGTGTTATTCCATAACTACATATATATATTTTTATTATTGTTTACAATGACCTTATTTTACATGAATTTTTACTTTCCCGATCATCTTTATTCATTTTCAGTTCCAGTTCAATATCATTCATGTTTCAAATTGTTTTCAAAGCTAAACAGATTCAGTTAACTAGTTGTATATGGTTGTGTTCAAATTCTTACATAATTCAAAATGAAGTGAGAGAGATATATAAAACTTTTATGTGTTAACAAAAAGTATTTCATATGGAATTTTTTTTTCTACCAATTACATCCTTTTAAAACCATTATTATTCTAGGCAGGACTAATTTATTATGTAATGACTTCTATTTTTATTTTTTATTTTTTGCCCATCAAAATAGTAATTTTTTTTCGTTAATCATTCTCTTAAAAAAGTTTAGCTTATATATTTGAGCTTAGGTAAAATAGCAAATTCATTCCGCGAGGAGATTACTATCATATATTTTTATAGGTATACTTTGCAATACCTATTGATTATTGGTTATAAATAAGCTTGTCAGCATTTATTATCAAACTATACTATTAATTAAGTGTATAGTAACACTCTTACATATATTATAGTTATTTAATAAGATGTAAGCATTTTAACAAGTTAATCATGATTCTAAGTATATGTTACATTGGGGTTTTAGGATTAATATTTTGAAAAAATATTTACATAATTATTAATTAGTTCATAATTATATTCAAATTTAAGAAGAGAGCAAAATAGTCCCCATGCTATATATATAATTCCTGTATTCATATTTCTTTTTTACTGTGATTTTTTTAGAAAAATGAAAATTAAGTTACTTCATTCTAATTAATGTTAAAAAAACAAATTTTTTTTTAGTGATATGATCCACACGCAGTCTCAAAAAATAACATTTAAGGACTAATTCTTATTTGCAGGTGATTTTTGTGTGCCATTTTTGATACAAAAATCAATCATAATAGAAACACGGGTTACAAAACATCCACTACACTAAAATTAGTTTTTTGTGACAATTAATTTATTATTTAGCGGTCATATAAATGACTATTATTCTTTTTACCAGCATTTAACTAATGGCTGGTGTATCCAGTGTCGCTAACACTATTATTGGCATTTATATAAAATATCGGTAAAAATCTACTAAATTGTCGGAAAAACTTATTTTTTTTAGTGGAAATTCTAGTAACCATTTTAAAAGCTATTAAAAGTTATTTCTTTCATTTGTCTCCTTTATTTTAAATAATTTATTTCTATAATTTCATTTTCTAAATCCATAACTTATATATTTTTTTTATCTCTACTCGATGTGGGATTTGTAAGATGAGAGTTGTCTTTTATTTATATATTTCTTAATTTATTTTTTTAATTGTCTTGTCTTTTAAGAGATGTGAGATTTATAAGATGAAAGTTGCTTTCTAATTGTTTTATAGCACTATTGAACTTGGTAACAATGAGTAATTTGATACCAATTTAGAATAGTGAATTAAGAGTCAACTCTATAAAATGAACCTGTAAGCTAATAGTTATTACTCACTTATATACTATTTAATTATCTTATCTCTGATTGATGTGAGACTTAAGTTTTTTCTAATAAATAATTATCGTTAATAGTAAACTTTAGTATAATATAAATACATTTTTAGTGGCTATTATACATTAATCATTAATATTTTTACATATGGCGGCAATTAAAGTATTGTCATTAAATAATTGTCATTAATAACAAATTTTGTTGTAGTGATGTAACTAAAATCATTTTGTGGAGGACTATTCTACCATACTAATTAACCAAACCTTTAATTAATTAATTGTTACTTTTCTCACATTTTTTATATATCCCGTCCTCCGTGAAGATTTCCATCACGAAAATTGGAAAATGTATCATTGGCATTCAAATTATTTTCGGCCCCATCTCACAGTATATTCAACAGTTTTCTCTAACTCAGAATAATAATGAGAGCTTATGACGTCCCACAAACTTACATTTCTTTTTGTACAAACTTATAATTCTAGCTAAAAGGATAACTTTCACGTGTAACAAATTTAAGAAGTAAATATTCTATTGAAGGATGTCAAAAAGTTTATCAGCCCTCGAAATATTTGAATTGAAATTATAAGACCCTTGTCTTGTGCAATTAACCATACTTTAGTTTTGTCACACGACTCACGCCTAGAAGGTTCTAAAAAGTTGATGATTGTTGTGTCATAGGGTTTTCACATAAACATTGGCCCTATTTTACTAAGATATTTTTATTTTAGGTCAAAGTCTTTATGATTTTACTTTTATATATATCAATGAAAACTAATTCATGAGTATTATTTGATGATGGTTCATAAAGTTAAATCATGGTTACTAGTACATCATCATATTAACTTACGATAGTTAAACACACTTCCTAATCCTTCATGTTATTAGAAAAATTCTCTAGCATATGGACTTATTATTAGGGAGACTTTTGATATAAAAGATCATATACTCTAATTTACTAGTCAATTCCATTATGTTCATCAAGCCAGTCACCTGATTGAACCATCGACACAAGTATTATTTGATAGTGACCTATAAAGTTCAATTACACACCGCTGCTTTCCATCGTGTTACACGCCTCCTAATCTTCCATATTATCGAGGAGATTTTCTTCCACATATATATAGATTCACTGTTATGAAAACTTTCAATACAATAGATCTTATATCCAGATCCACCCGTCGAGTCGGTCATTAGTTGAACCAACGACTTTGAAATCATTTGTTGTGCACTAAAAGGTTTTCACACACACGATATTGTTTGCTTCGAATCTAAGTCCTCTTGATTTTTCTTTTGGACATCACTTAAAAGATCTCTTACCAATGAAGATAATTATGTATATATAAATTTATGTTCATTTTTTTGTTTGAATTATGTAAAACTTTACTTGTATTTCAATAATAAAAGATCTTTTATCAATAAAGACAATTATATATATATATATATATATATATATATATATATTAATATCCATTCTCTTATTTAAACAATATAAAATTTTATTTATATCTCAACAATCATTTACTAGAATTTCAATACCAATTTACCATTCCTACATACTTAGCATTTATACATTATGAAAAGTAAGATATCAAATTTATTTCCCGCATCTAGCTATCTAGTGTTTTTTTTAATTATTTTTCTTAATTAATATTTAAGTAATATTATTTATTAATTTGTACATATTTGCGGCAGAGTAAAAAGAAAGCTGCCGAATGGCCAGATTTAAGATTTGCTTGCTATTCTGCAAAAGGAAAAAAGCCAAAAGTCAACGCGTAGTTTGGTTTACATGAACCTTGATGCCTTTGACTGCAATTTAAAGATAACAGAAAAGAAACTTATATAACTAGCTGACCATTTTTTTTTTAAATTATGTTTTCGTCCCTTTAAATTATTTTAGAAATTTAGTTTTATCTTTTTAAAAATAATTGTTTTATTTTTATCTCTCAAATTTGAAAATGCTTATTATTATTATTATTATTATCTCAAAGCATATTTTATAGTAACCACAATTAAATGTTAATTATAACAGTTTTGAGGTCCAAAAGTGAAGGATCTTTAAATCGGAGGGATGAAAATAAGAAAAAAAAAATTAGGATTGCAATTGAATTTAAAAAAAGTTAAAAAGAAGAACTCATTGAAAAAATTGGATCCAACTGAAGCAGTCTACATTAACATATTGGTCCCCACAAGTCAAGTTGGATTGCATCGGATCGGTCTTTTATGCATCTCTATTACTAATGAATGATATATAACTTCCTTACCCTAATTCATGTGAATTTTCTGAATCAAGTGCATTATACCCCCGAATGTTAAGTCAAAATCTAATGGTTCGGTGCATGCTTATTTGTAAAATGCTAGCTTCGGCTTTTAGCCTTTAGGGATGAATATGAACAATAGCTGGAGTCTAAACCACTTGACACCATGGATGCTTGCTACCTTTTAGGGGTCTTTCAGATGAAGCAACATCAAAGGCTTTTCTTCATTTTTGTCAAAATGTTTAATATTAAGTTATGTAAATTTTACACAATCTTAGCATCGATATAATTTACATTATTTTTCATGAAATTCACAAAAAAGCATTCAAATATAAAATTATATATTAACCCTGTTGAAAATCTGTTTCATGAATGAGGAAAATTATTATTATTATTATTATTACATTTAAAACAATAAAAACACGTAAAATAATAGTTTTGAGATCCTTAATAAAAATAATCTTTATTAAATTACATCTTGACCAAGTCAAATTAATTTAAGACAAAATTTTAGATCTTTTAGTGTGAGATAAAATAAAAGTAATTATTGGTTAAACGTTTGCTTATTACGTGATTTTCTCCATGCTACCGAATATTCCGTAAAAACCGATTTATTTTTATTTTTATTATTACATACAACAATCTTGCATCAAAATTCGTTATTTGAGACTAGCATTTTATCTTATCCAAGTAAGTATAAGTTATGATATACTTAGAACAATTTATACAGTGTTTCTTTCGGATTCAGTTATAAACCAAATTAACTAACTTTGCACTAAATTTTATTTTAATATAATTCATTGTCAATCTGAATTACAAATATTATTTTCTGATACTGTCCTTTATTGAAATTTAATATTAAAAATATATAAAAATAAATAAATTAAAAATGGTTTTAATTAAATGAAGATTTTTTTAGAGATAATAATATTAATTATGATAAAAATTAATTAAATTTTATATTTTAGTTTATGTTTTATAAGATTTTGTTCTTCTTATATTTAATTTTTGATAGATATATCTTAGGTATCTATCTATTTTCACTCATCTTTTATTATATATTTTAACTGTTTTTCTCTTTCTCCCTTAATTAAAAAATTTAGTATACAATTAATTTGAAATAATATTATTTATACAAAAAAATTTATAAAATAATTCTTAAGACATTATTTTTGTTTTTATCTTTTTTAATATTTCATTTATTGTAGAGAGATATTATTAATAATAGAGAGAAATAGATTCAAAAGTGATCTTGTATAAGTTGTAGTATACATGTAATTAATGTTACTCTTTTTATATTAAGTAATCATAGTAAAAAAAAAGAAGGTAAATTTAAATAAATTAACAGTTGAAAATAATTTGAAATGAAGCTGCAACTGGTTTTGCATTGGGCAATAAACAAGAAAATATTAAAGCATCTAGTATCTCTAGGAATATGCTTGGTTGACCAAAAACTTACCACTGCGGTTAAAAAATATTAAAATAACGTTGGATGACTTGTTTAGTAGTATCTTTCCCTAACTTAATATC